AAGAAAGAAAGAAAGAAAGAAAGAAAGAAAGAAAGAAAGAAAGAAAGAAAGAAAGCGCTTATCCCAATCATTACAACATTGCAAGTTCTATTGGTTTCCATGAAAGTATACGTAGTATAAATATACTATATTATACCAAGTATAGTTGTATGTAGTATAACCATAATGCTATACAAGTATATAATTATACTTGAGTACATAATTATACTCATTGCTTCCATGTAAGCACACCTAAGAGTGTGGCCCAAGCTGCTTTTATTTATGTTATACTTTTTAGGGCATCTGTTTAAGAGAAAACTATCATCTGTTGATGCATTATTAAATGTTGATCTTACAAAGAATATTAGGTTAGATTTTTAAAAATATATTACATATATAGGAAAACATTATAATAGCTTCCATCCTCATGTCTTCAGATTAAAAAAAATTAAGGGACACATTTGTCAAATCCAGCAGTTCATTCAGCCAGTGTCACCTCTCTAAGATGTTTCCAAATTTTAACAACTAGAATACTCCATTCCTCCTCTTTAATAAAAATTTCAAGAAATTTAAAGTAGTGGCATATCTCATCACCAGAATAGATATGTACAGTCCATGTAGTTAAGTATTTCATAAACTTTCTAAATACACTGCTGACTTTTTTTTTATTGTGGCAATCAGGCAAATGGCTAGAGATGCAATTTTACTCCACTGACATTTACTGCTATTAATGTCACCTAAAGAGATACCAGCAGAAGAGAAATATTTGGGAAGAGGGAAGGGCAAACATTACAATAGCAGGTAGAAAAGAGGAACTTCAGTCTACGGCAGAAGGATTTGGAAAACACAGACAACAGCCATTGCCTGCCTTTGGATCGGCACCCACGGTATTTGAACACAGTATGTATTAAAACCGCAAAATATAAGGAAAGAAAATCCAAAGAAAAATTGTGGTATCAAGTAATACCGTTTAATCAATAAGCAAGTCAGCATTTTCCCCTATACATCTTTTCCATTCAGATTTTATTTACCCAAATTGGCCATTGAAAGTAGAAACAATCTTTTCTTTTCAAAGCTAATGTCTAATTTACAAAGTGGCTTTTCAAGAAACACTTCAAAGAAAATTATTCCAAAACTTTGGGAGATATTTACTGTTTTTGTCTACTGATGAGGGTAGGATAGGGAAAAAAAGCAATTTAGTAAAAGAAAATAAAAAATCTTCACCAAGCCTTTTGCACATGATGAAACAGCTAGTTGGCTTACCTTCCTTTTGTTATACAGGCTGTATCAGTCAGGTTAAGAATAAATATTTAGTAGCAGCATCCTTTAAAAAATCTGCTTCTTCTAAGCTTCTTTATTATCCAAGAAAGCACATGAAGCAAACTAGCAACACAACTATTCTTTCTTTGAAAACAATACATTTTTCATTGGGTGACTTACTGACCAATCAGAATAATTTTCCTCTAAAATCTTAAATCATGAGCTTCAGTAATATGTAATATTAGGAACATCATAGGAACATCAACAAAATGGGAGCTTTACAATGTGAAACAGGATATATTCCCAACTCATTCAAACATAGGCATATACAAACATTTAGGATGTAGAAATTCAAAGTATCTGATAGACTGCAGTGTGTTTTTTTAATGTAAGAAGGATTTTGATCAGTTGGTTAAGAATTCTACTGAATCAAAGAAAAGTCTTGGCGTTACAAGTCAATGGTAGAATACAACCACTAATCTCATCCTCCCAAAGTCTTCTGCAAATGATAATATAAGGTTTTGGGGTCAGTCATTACCATCTCCAATTTAAAGGGTCTCAGGCAGCATGAAAAAATATGTCTGTCTGAGATCCTGAAAAGCTGCTGCCAATTATAACTGGTGATAGTAGACTAGGTGAACTGATCTAACCCAATGTGAGGAAGTTTCATATGTTAATATCATCTGGTGAAGCTTCTTGTGGCAAATATGTTTGCATGTATAATCATATTCAGCTTATTAATGACAAATGAAGTTAATCTGAATTGATTTGCCATATTGGAAACTTCTAAATCACCAATTGGGATACCATCACCAAATTCACTTTTGTACACTTTGCAAGGACATACAGCTTGCAAGTTGGAGACACAATGAAACAACCACATGACATTTACCATCAGTTCAGATTGGCTTCAACACACTATGCTGAGAACAGCAATTTGCACTAGCTTTTTCTAAAAAGAGTGCCTGGTCTTTGAATCTACACACAGTGCATTCAGCTCAAGAGTAATCACTGCAAGGAAAATAGACTACATTACATGGCCATCTGTTTTCTGTACTACAACACACCAGCAATTCCAAGATCCTGTCTTAGAAAGATGCTAATTCCAGGTGCTTCAAATAGAGAGACCATGTCCTTTCTCTCCATTCCTCTCCTACATGTTAGAAATATACTCCATGTGATAAATGAAGGTATGTGTAGGGATCCTTTTATCAATCCTCCTCAAGCCTTCAAGAGAACCATTAACACAGTTCTAAACAAAGGTATTTGTTAGACCTCATACACTTGTCTCTATGCCATACAGACTTAGATGTGGTCTCTGTTTGTACCGCATGCGTTTTTCACCTGAGTAATTCAAAGCTGATTGATCCAATGGAGCCACAGTTACTGGGGCTTTTGACACTGGGACAAAAGGGACATGATCATGTGGCTGTATCTGTTCAGTCCCACTGGACTCTGATACTCTTGTCTTGCTGCCAATATCGGAAGTTGACCTGTATAATACATATTGGAAACATTAGTCATGTCAATATCAAATCTACCTTGGCCAAAGTCTAGAACCCATTTATTCTGGAGCAGAACATTTAAGTAATTTGAAGTAAATTCATCAAAGAGTAAAACCATATCATCCAGAGCAGTAGGACTGCTTTAAGTATTTGTAAAAGAAGGTAGAGAAAATATTATCATTTTGACATTTTTCATTAATGGTTAAGTCATAGCAGCTTTGCTGACCACTGCCTCAAACCAAGTTTGCTTTAGGTAATTGTTTATATATTTTTTATCCTGTCCTGCATTTGGGTATGGTAATGTAAACACCAAAAAATGCAAATTAGTAAGGCTTTAAATCTGCCTATATTGTTTATACATTTAATAATGTTATTAAATTATAATAACATTTAAAAACACTAATGTTAATAAAGACATACCTTTTGTTAGATAATTGCTAGATATATGCTAAGCTTACTCTTATTATCATACTATCTGACAATGAAGGAGAAGTCTGTTGCCAGTGCTCTACAATTCACTGATAGTTTTGCAGAACTATTATGACATCACTGACAGCCAATGAGGACAGCTCAGCTGCTTCTGTATTCTTATATCAATGCACTATGAAATACATCATTCATACTATGTGGTGACTTTGCAGTATATTCCAATGTGTTAAAAAAACAAACAAACACTGTTTAACAGACCAAAGTGATTTCATAAGACTGAACCATGCAACAGTAATCAGCTATTCATGCATGAGATACATTATTAAGTTAATTTGATGTGAGAATATAAAATTTAAAAGGCACTGTCCACCAGATTAAAATGAATAGAGAATTGTGCAGTAAATATTTAAAGCATGTTAAAACTTGTCTACATTTATTATGGTTATAAGATTTACATAAGTAATATTATAGTAAAAATGTTCTAAATTTCTCTTGAGTGCCCCCCAAAATTATCAAATCATCAACTGATCTTGTGCTGCCTGTATCTGGTTATTTCAGAAAAATAAAACAGGGTGTTTTATGAATTATTCAGTTCTTTTATAGCACAGTCACCCTGATATTATACCTTTATAATCAAGGATTTAAATCATGGTTTAGATAATACCAGAGCATAGATTTTGCATAATGTTGCTTATCTAAGGAGTTTGCATCTGAATAAAGATTTATAGTTTTAAAATATTTAATAATAACATTATACCTGAAATTACACCATTTGATTGAATTTCAAAAGTATATGTTAAATATAAGGAGACAGCTTAGCATTGTAATGTAGTAGAGTTTCAGCATTAGTTACTAAGAGACTTAGAAATTCTGTAGTACCTCTTGAGAGAAGTTATAGCAACAGGTCCTGTCCTGGGAGGCACAGGAGGAGGTGGAGAACCCATCACCATTTCAGGTAGTGGAGAAAACCTGTATGCCTGTGAAGAAATCAGGGAGGCATTTCCTCAAAAAAAAAATTCAATTATTAAAATACTACTACATTATGTTTTTCTGCATTACAGAAGAAATACGCTTTACAAAGACTATTTGATTGAACGCCACAACATACTCTATTCAGAAGTGGTGGTCTCAAAGGACTAATATAGAGCGCCTATCTTCAAATTATACAAAGTAGGCCTTTCGATGTGTACAAAAGCCCTCACTTATTAATTTTGTAAAATGTTATAGTTATGCTCATTTTACCAAGAGCGATTTTTTTTTTTTAAATAAGAACATTTAACAAATATAAAAATTAGGTATAGCTCAATTTGGGGATCTCCCATTTTCATTCCTATTCTTTGTCAGAAGTGTTGCACAGAATCTCAAATTAAATTATGTTTCTTGAGGAAAAAACACGAAACTTTCTGAGTAAGTTATATTTGTCTTAAGTTGCTCATGGCAACTCAGAATAAATGAGTATGCACTCCTTTATTTTTATTATTCTTTTACACCAAATCTTATGTAACAGTCATAAATATTCTCAATATTTACTCATATTACATCTTGTTTGGTGAATAGTTTTTTGTGTAGGGTGCTCTGATCTGAAGAGGCGAGAGATCACGATAAGTATTTATTTTCCCATTCCAAGCATACACTGTTGTGAGAATAGACTGTCATATGGACATAAGTTGAACTGATTTCAATACTCATTCCCAGTAAGCAAGTTTAGGATCATGTTGCCTAACAACTGGAACCTGAAAATAACATATGCAATAGATTAAATCAATGGTGAGTAGAAGGAAGCTCTATTGATAGGTCATTGAGTGATTTGCAGTCACCTGGCAAAGACTGCTGATTCTCAGATGTTTAACCATCACAATAAAATGAACCAGCACCAGCAACACTACTTTTATATTGCTGAAAAATAATGAAACAATGTGGTAAATAGGAGTGATTTTGGTTTGGAGGGACTAAGAGCTCCATTTACTTCCATACCCTGGACTTGAAATTATTTAATTCTAAGTATATTCCTTTTGTGCCATACTGTATTTTATCATAGATCTTAACATTTATGTCTTTTCATAAAACAGTAATACTATCTATATTAGGATATGAAACAAGAAGTTTTTCTTAAATCAAATTCCAAAACTTCTTTCACTTCACAATTTCACAACCTATTTTTAAACAGATGCAGAGAAGAGTCTCTCATTCTTTCTTTGTCAGAAAAGGAAAAGGTCTGGTTTATAATTGCATATCTATAACTTGGTTGCTAATCATTCAGGATTAACGGGTCTTGAAATTAATGCCACACGAGAGATGCTGAAAGTGCTACACACATACAAAGTCACGGAGAAAATGCCAGTTTGTAATATTCCTATCTCTTTTTTTAAAAAAACTGATCATTTGCATCCCAACCCACATCCCACAAATTTGGACAAATAACCATATTTCCCCAGTATCGTAAGGGAAATTTCTGGCATAAAAATATGGCAGGATGAACTCTTTCTGTTTTCTGAATGAAGGTGAAAGACAGTGTAACTGTTTCAAATACATAATTAAAATATTTCAGGATTTTACTCATAAGGCCATATTTTCTTGAACATAATTAGAAATAAAACGGAGTATGAGTCTTAAGTCCTTTAATACAAAACACGCTGCAAGCATAGACTCTACCTGTCTAATTTTCATAGTGTTGGTTTAATATGAGGTATTTTGTCTCTGGGCTCTTGTTCTGGCAGTACATATCCACAAACCCAGGCCATGCCACTAGAAATACTGCACAAGTCTTTGTGAATGAGTCTGTCAGACTATCCCCCTTGCTCCCTCCAACCCGGGATTACTGATATTCTAACCTCAGTTACGGGTACCAGAACAATGACAGGAAGCATACAACTTCCAATATAATCACATTATCTATACCTTGAAAATTGCTGCTTACTTTTAATGTGCTTGTGCTGTTACCTCATACTGGGTTAATTGTCAAGTTTGGTCATTCATCTTGCACTAATATGTAACCCCAAAATCACACACATAACCCTACATGAAATATACAATGTGACTTTAAAAACAAGCTTCTCAAAATACAAGTAAAATACTGTATAGGAGGCTCTGCAATGAAATGGGCACATATTTAACCGACAGGGATTTTCCCTGAAAACATATGAAACAAGCCCACAATAGCTCTTTATGTATCATATGTAAGTGGTCACTTACAGGTCGTGGTAAACTGTATTGATACACTTCTGGTCTATATGTTGGCACCCACTGTATTCCACCTCTAGGCCGAGACATGGTACCAGGAGCACTGGTCACAACTTCAGAGTATGGCAAATTCTGTGCAGAATTGTAAGTGTCTTGTTGCCTGCTCTGTCCTCCATGACCTGCTGAAGCCAAACTAAAGGCTTCCTCTAGTAACATGTGCATCTGTTGCCTGACTTCATCAATAGATGGCTGAGAACTCAGAGTTGAAGTCTCTGAATGGCCTTTTGCTTGATGGGCTCTGGTATAATTTCGAGGTTCATTGACACGGTCAACATTTGTTTCTTCTATCATTTCAGGCTCAGTCTGTTGGATAAAATATAAGTATTTAATGGAGACTGTTGCAATCACTTTTTATGATAGTGTTCATACACATGTACAATGAGGAGATACGTTCACTCATTATCCTAAACCCCTTTTATGATCTTTGTTATTTGACGGATAGCAGAAGAATAGCTATGTCCTGTTAGAAAAACACTAGTACAGCGTCCCAAGGAAGCAAGGAAATCAACAGGTACAAGAGATCCCAAGCTTGCTTGCATTTCTTCCTGTCCAATTCTTCATCTCCCCCCTGCCCACTATAGTCATTTAATTAGAGAAGTGAAGTAACGGAAAGGTGTTGGATCAGGTTCATATTTTCATTCAACCACAGAGCTTCCTGAGTGATTTTCACCTAGTTATCCTCTCTCAACACAGCCTTCTTCACGGGGTTCCAGTTGTGAACATAAAATAAGGGTGCTTAACAGGTCTGTGCTGCTTGTGCTCCCAGAAAAAAGATGGGATATAAATGCAGTGAATATATAATGCAGACATTTCCCCAGAAAGCAGACTGTGAATTCACTTGTTTCTGAGCAAACTACAACTTCCATGGTAGCTTTTACAGTGGCAACAGATCTTTTTACCTTTCCCCAGTCTTAGTAAGTCTCTTTACATTTTTATAAATGCCACAATCATTGTTATTCACTATTTGGTTTAAATAAAAAAAAATACTTAAATTATAATAAGAGAAAAAATGAATTTAGGCTATTATTAACTATTCTACATTTTGCACAACTAAGAATTTTCTACTGAAAGAAAAAGAGAATAGCTAGCTAGCTCTGATTTCAATGAATTACTAGCTACTTAAGAAATCCATATTCTATAAAGATTATATATGCTACAAGTATCTGATAAAAATACCTGTTTTATATATATTAATATTCTCTACACTGAGAGTCACAAGTATTGTCAACCAATCTGCAGATATGAATAGACATAAATATTTAAAAAGTTTGCAAACAATTTTTAAAAATCATCTCTCCCCTAAACATTCCACATAACACTATATTTCATTTTATGTTTATATTCCATTTTTCCTTTTAAAAGGAAAGCTCAAATTGACTAACATCAACATCCAAAAGTCAATGAATAGCAAAATCAAATAACATACAACTTTCTTATCTAGTAACTAGAAAAGTGCTTTCCAACTTGGAGAGTCTCATCATCTTGAAACCAATTGGAACTAAATGTTTCATTCAATTTTCTTAGCAATAACACAGAAGTGGTTTGCCTTTGCCTTTTTCTAGATTTAATTTTGGAATTTCTTCTCCTAGGTGTATTGATTTCCTACATACCTGCACAAACCTACTTGCCTTCACTCCCACTAGATTACTCTTAGTTTCATCTCTTCCTTTGTATTTTACAAGCAAAGGTGACCCTAACAGGAGTTCCTGCTTCTACCCACATTATTCTCAAAATCACTAAAGGTAATGAGTCTTCCTATCAGATCAAAGTGGTAATTCCTAGGAGAGATAAAAATTAAACCAAATTCTTTAAAGGGGTTCATTAAATAACCAGTTGACATTAATTACTTTGTAGAGTCCTCTTTGTAAGCATAAATAGAGTAATATAGGAAGCAGACACAGGATTACCCAAAGCCATCAGATCCCCTAAAAGCCCACAGAGGCAAGGGAAAAAAGGTTGCTTCCATGTTGCTGCTGGAACATATATTTCTTTGATGTGAGTTAAACTGATCATATTGTACCTAGTATTTAATTTATCTGGATTTCTAATGATTTTTTTTTCAGTGATTGATTGGGACCAATGAGTCATGGATTTATATCCATTCAGTGATGAAGATGATTTGGTAATTGTGGTCTAGTCATTATTTCTTAATCAGTTCTGCCCCACATAACCACTGTAAAAAGAAAATGGAGAGGGGTGGAAAGATGACATAAAAGCAATGGCACAAACCAGTGTCCATAAGATCTTAAATTAGACTTTATAACAATTTTTTTTAATCCATTCAATTGTTTCCAGTTCTTGGAGACTGCCTGGACAAGTCCCTGCAGTTTTCTTGGCAAGATTTTTCAGAAGTGGTTTGTCATTGCCTCCTTCCTAAGGCTGAGAGAGAGTGACTGGCCCAAGGTCACCTAGTTGGCTTTGTGCCTCAGTGGGACTAGAACTCATGGTCTCCCAGTTTCTAGCCTGATGCTTTAACCAGTACACCAAACTGACTCCCATTTTATAACAATAATGTGACAAAAATACACAATGACCTAATTGCAAAGCAAAAGACACACAAGGAAATGCTGCAGTCAGGGAAAGACTGTGTATGAATAACTACAGCAAAGCCAGCTTTATCTCATACTGTAGATTGTTCCTTTACATTGCTGCTGCAATGAAGCATACTGAAGCATAGCACACTATAATCCTAGATGCATTTTATATTATGATTTATGTACTGTGACAGATAATGTCAAAACACAGACAATCCTTTCACAGTTGATGTTGCAGTTTCCTGAATCCTGACAAATATTACAGCAAAGAATCACTATACTTCAATGGACAGCAAGATTATTTATTACCTCACAAGTACTACAATTTTTGTTTTTTTGTATTTGGGTTCTGGCACTCAAAGAAATATGGTCAATGTACAGCAATATAAAAGGCAAAAACCAAATATAAATCAGCCCATACTGAAGAAACTGGCTGGTCAAGGCTGGAGACAACTAAATAGATCCATGGTCTGATTTCTTGACATAGTTCCAAATACATCTGTGGTCTGATCTTGACATAAATCCAAATCAACTTACAAATTGGGAAGAAAAAAAACCTTCCCTAGATTTCCTTCTACTGCAAGCAAAATCTTTAATTAATTTTATCTGCCATTAAATCATTGTAGCAGTGCTTATACTACAGTGAAACTTTGATTTACTAGTTCTCAATAAATGGACTTTGTATGAAATGGACCTTGCATGTGATGGACACAATTTCCCTGGTGATTTACATCATTTGTGTAATAATATCATTAGCGAATGATGCAAATTATGTCTATTGTGCCAATTTATGGCTTTTACATAATGACATCATTACTCAAATGTAATAACTTGCATCATTTGGATAATGATGTCATCATGCAAATGACATAAATCACTGTGATGATATCCTTCCTTATTTAATAGACAGTCCCTGCAATTAGTCCATGAAATGTCATTGTACATTTAAACAGAAAAGGTAATCCAAAAAAAGAAAGGGATATTTTACTATTTCACAGGACTATAGCACAGCAATTTTGAAGACTATAGCTGATGGGGCTTTACATTCTGGCCTCTTCCGTACAACAATCTTTAATAGTTTCATACCAGTTTATTTATCAAAATTTGTGACAAAAGACCTTAAATTCTGATACTGAAAATTTTCCTTCAGAAATAACTCACTCCCATTTTCACTTGTTCTTTCCCCAAACTTCCCCATGATTTAGATCAGTGTTTCTTTTTTTTTTCCCCCCAAACCCTTTATTTTATTTCAAGCAATATCCGGTAACTACATTAACATAAATCCAAGATACATATAAAGAAAAAAATATAGAAAATACAAAAAAGATCTACTACAATGTGGATAAAGACACAGGTACAGGTTTCACATACATGTGAAAAATACTATATACATGTGAAAGTTTACCATATATAAAGAATACACCAAATTATAATCTATTACTATTAAGGTAAACCATAAAATCCAACCAAATCTGATAAAATTTGGTTCCTGCTTCTGAAGTCTCATTACTTTATCTATGATTTTTTCTAATATGGCAATTGAAGAGACCTTGCTAATCCACAACTCAATTGTTATATTATCTAGAGTTTTCTAATGTTGCACAATTATTGTTTTGGCTGCTAAAATTAAATGGTTAATCAATTCTTTATTTTAAGCTTGTGGTTTGGTCCTGTAAATAAATGCAATAAGCCTAACTCTGGAGAGCATTCAATTCTTCATTTAGTAATAATACTTACCTCTCCAAAAAATTTTCGCCAAAAGGGTATAACTTTATCACATGACCACCACAAATGAAAAATATGACCCTTAGATAAGTGTTTCTTAATTTTTTTTTCTCTCAGGACCCCTCCCTCTTTTAAAAATTATGGAATACCCCAAAAGAGCTTTTGTTTGCATAGGTTATATCTATCAATATTTACCATATTAAAAATTAAAGTTGATGCATTCGGTGCCACTACCACTTCTCATGATTATTTGATGGGATTTTAATATTGTATTATTTTTCAACATAAGCTGGCAAATAATTTTGATTTTGCAGACCCCTGAGAGTCCAGTGTTTAAGAAACACTGATTTAGATGATCCTTTGAAGAAGCAGAATAGGAAGAGTATTGACCCCTTTGAACTTTGGTGTTGGAGAAGACTCCTGAGAATACCATGGACAGCCAAGAAAATAAACTAATGGATTATCAAACAAATCAACTCACAAATCACCAAACTCAAATTATCCTACTTCAGACACATTATACAAAGACCCAGCTCTCTGGAAAAGGCTCTAATGCTGGGAAAGGTGGAAGGAAAGGAAAGAAGAGGATGACCAGCATCAAGGTGAATCGACTCAGTTAGGGTGACAATGAGTGCATTGGAAGACCTGAAAGATAGGATAAGGGATAGATCATTATAGAGAAAATGTATCTATGTGGTCATTAGGAGTCGAAAACAACCTGATGATCAAAATCAATCAAAATCATCAGATCAGATTCTGAGAGTGTATGAGGGGTTTCAAGGAGGAAAAAAAATGGTCCTTCTATTCTATCGATGAAAAAAGATCTCTCAGTGAAGTGGATCACTAGATTCCACATGACACTACCATGTCTTGTGTCCTCCTAGAAGAAGTTATACTTAGCAACATGGTTAAGCACTATTAAGCAGTCAGATTCACTTTGATCTGAAAGCTCTTCATTTTACTACACAGCCTATTCTTTTTTGACATCTTTTTTTTTAACCTCACTAAATATAATTATTTTATTGCTCCACTGGATTCTTTACTATACATCATAATGCTGATTCTATGGAGTTTTACAGTTAGAAGCATCTCCAGAGAATTACTCTGAACTGTTATTCACTCATTTTGCTCTCCCATTATTTTTCCACCATATAAACATGATGTGGTGAGCCAGATAAGAGTGGATGAAATTCCATTTATGGCTTCTTTATGTGATGTAAAAAGAGCTTTTGTATGGTATCATTTCTGCCATAATACTTGAAAATTTCATCAGCAAGTCCCCTCTCCTTTTTTTAATAGTTAGGATTATGACTGAAAGAATTTTGGTTACACATTAAATGAGGAAGTAAAACATAGTGAAAAGGAGGAAATAATAATGTTATCTAAAAATAAAGTATTATCTTATAGGTTGCCATATGAATATTAGGTGTTCTTTTCACCTCTCCATGTGCAATATAAATTGGTATCAAGATACACAGACACAAATTACTTATATAATTAACATAAGATATAGTTGCATCCATTTAGTCCACACATCTGTTATAAGAAAGAACAAATAACTGGGGCACTGAAGTACCATTATGTAAGAACCTGAAATTTAGTCTATAACCCTGTAATGCAGCTTGCCTAACATCATGCCCTGTGTTGTATTAGGATTCCAATGCCCTGACCAGGATGACTACTAGTACTGGAGTGTAAGGAAAATACTCCAGGCCTGCACAAATCATAGAGGGGAAAGGGCCTCACTGATACATTAAAAATAATTGTGGGCCACAAATAAATTGTTTTGGGAAAAACAGGTTATTTTATTACTAGAAAATATGAAGAATATGACACAAACATGAACAAATCAATGCAATATATTGCATTTTTTTCAACAACAGTTTTTTTTGTATTGTGAGAAGTTGATATTCTTAAACTGTCTTGCAAATGTTCATTAACGATGGAAGAATACTCTTTGTTTTTATTCATGTTCATGATTGAAAATGTTTGTTATATATAAATATGCTTCCAAAAATACAAAAAGTTTTCCAAGTTTAAATCAGCTTTCTAAATTCTTCCTTCTCTAAACATTTGTAAAAATCAAACTGCTTTCCTTAAATTTTGATTTATAAGTTCCTGAACATTGCAACTCAATTATTTCTATTTGGAAATCTAGTGGTACAGTATTTCTTCTGGATTTATAGAAAATGGATTTACAATCATATTTAATTGAATCTTTTCTTCTTTGGTCAAAGCAAACTTTTTGTCAAATTCCTCAATCAGAAAACTAACATGCTCTCCATTTTTTTCCTAGCTCAGTGCTCTTGCATTTGAGGAATATGCTGAGCACAAGTAGGAAAATGATCCAGTTCTCCTTTCTTGAGTTGGTCCCTTAAAAAGATGTAATTTCATTTTAAATGCTTTTATTGAATTATACATTTTAAAGATCAGTCGATCTTTTCCTTGAAACTACAGATTCATATTATTTAGATGAGTTTTGGTATCACGAGCAGGATCCAGTGACAATGCCCAGTGGCTCGAATGTTGAACTAGTTGACCCCACCGGTGTCATGTGATTCTGAGCAGGCAGGATTTGGAGGCTCAACAACCAATGCAGTGCTTAAATGCATGCAGCTATTGGGAATGGGAAAGAAAGGGGGGCAGAAAGCAGTGACGGAGCTTGGCTGAGTCCTTCTTACTGAGCTCCGTAACGTGTGTGAACTGTTAGAAGCCACTCGGAGGAAGGTGCAACAGCAAACTGATGAGATGACTGCTTATGAAGATCAGCAGGCTCTTCTGAGGGAGGCACTGGAAGGTGCCCAAGGAAGAGTGGATTTAGTAGAGGACCGAGTTACAACCATAGTTATTCAGTTTGCAAAATTAAAACATTGCAAGCAGGGAAAGAGAGGGTGCACACCCAACCCTCGCAAAGTTAGAGCTCTCATCTTGTCCCAGGAGTGGAATCCAGAAACCTAGGATGGAGACGTGTGGAATTCTGATGATGAGGAATCAGGATGGACAGAAGGGGAGGATGAAGGAGATGAGAGTGCTTGGGTGGCTGAGGCAGGATCTTTTAGTCATCAATAAAACCAAGGGGCCACCTGGCAACCCATAGGCTGCTCAGGCCATACATGTTGTAAGGGATGATACTCAGCAGGAATTAGCTGACCTGTCCAAGACTAATAGGCAGAAGCCAGGGGAGAGGCTGAGTCAGTGGTTAGTAAGACTGTGGGACCAAGGAACTAGCAGCCTTTACTTAACTGGAGAGGAATTAGTTAAATTGGGGACATTATCTAAAGACACCTTGATTAATCAATATTTGAGACTGCCTAACGCTGCTGCAGTACAGCCTTTATTCGATTGGTATGTGCTGGCTATATAAGCCAGATACCCTGCTGCTATGGATTGGGAAAGAAGACAATATACCTTTCAGGTCTTGTCACAAGGTTATCTTCATAGCCCATCTTATGCCATGGAGTGGTGGCAAGAGTCTTGAAACAAGTCACTCTACATCCTGCTTTGTTTCTTGCTCATTACATTGATGATATTTTATTAACAGGTCCAACAGAGGATGAGGTGCAGCAAGGGTTAACCATTTGGTTGAACACATGAGATCCCGGGGTTGGGAGATTAATCCAAAGAAAATTCAGGGACGAGCTCAACAGGTGCAGTTTCTGGGGGTGGTTTGAGCATGACCTGTGAGGCACATTCCTGAAAAAGTTCTTACTGTGATTGCTACTTTACAAGCCCCAACATCAAAAGCTGAAGCTCAACATTTAGACGGCTTAATCGGCTTTTGGAGACAGCATATTCCCCACTTGGCTCAGACCTATTTATAATGTAACTCGGAAGAAAGCCCAATTTGAGTGGGGAGAAGAGCAGCAAAAGATTTTGTTTGATGCCAAAGCAGCAGTTGTGCCATTAGGACCTTATACTAAAGGGCAGCCTTTTGAGCTACAGGTGTCAGCAAATGAAGAAATAGCTGTATGAAGTTTATGGCAGAAAGGGCTTATAGGAAAGCAAGTTCCTTTAGGGTTTTGGTTTCAAAGATTGCTTAATGTACACACCTTTTAAGAGTCAGCTCCTGGCATTCTGCTCCTTGAAGAAATATTTGGAAGGTTCTGAGCTTCAGTCCATTACTGCCAAGATAGTTAACAATGGAGGCAACCCCCAACATCACATGATCACATTTTAAAACTACTGCACAAAACTTACAGATGAATAATGCAGTGGTGTTTGGTTTTTCTTGTCTGATATAGTGCTCAAGAAGAGCAACTGCTCCAATCTTTTTGCCATTCATGGCTGGTGCCCGATCAGTGCAAATCCCCATCAAATTCTTCAGATCAAGTTTCAATGTTTCTTTAAGACATTTTATGACTTCATCACAACATTATTTTCCAGTTATATGACTAGTTATAGAGCACATTCTGGCAAGCTCCTCAGTAATTTCATAGTTTGAACTGATTCATTTTATTAAAATGAGTAATTTTGCCATGTCTTTCAAATCGGTGCTTATATCAAAAGTTAATGAATAAAAGAGAAATTATGTAGACTTCTCAGATAACTGATCACTAAGATTGGAAGAAATGTCAGCTATTCTTCTTTGAACAGTCATTCATTATCAAATATTGCTTTCTTTTTTTGGGCAAAAACTGGACACAGCAATCTGCATACACTTCTTTAAAAAATCTGCCGTCTGTAAAACATTTTCCAGCAACAATGATTTCCCTTGCAATTTTAAAGCTTACTTTAGTAACAGTCTCAATTTCAGTGTTTATACCCTTGAAAATCTGTTTTTCTCTAGGGAGATTTTTCAGTAAACTAGTAACTTTAATTTTTTTCTCATTATAGTCTAATTTAGCAAGGGCATGATGTTTGCCTCAAAATGTCATTGCAGATTATATTCTTTTGGGATATTTCATGACACACAAGACATACAGTAAGGTTCATTTCCAAAAAAAAAAGTACACTTAACATTTGTTGAGCTGTCAAAAAACGCTGGGTGGCTGCACAAGGCTGCATGGCAGGCCACATGCAGACTGCAGGCCATATGTTGTACAGGCCTGTTATAATCTAATCCATTTTAAGGTCACCAGACTGGGGAAGGCTGCCTAAAGCTTTAGCAACTTACTTAAAAGAAACAAGGTAAGCAAACTGAGATTCTTAGGAAGTAGCTTCTTAGCTCCAGTACAAAAATCTCAATGTTCTTGTTATGACTCTTGTGGTAGAGTGTTAGAGCTACCCTTATAGTACAATAAAATAGTAACCATAATTTATGTATTTATTTTTTTATTGGGGTTTTTGTTAAATTTATATTAAGTATCCTGACAGTAATAACAATCAAGGTATAACTAACAATGCACAGACTATTCTGTAGAACAACATTATCCAAATGGTAGTCATTTTAAACTTTTGGAATGAGTATGTGCATGCACAAATCTTTTAAATCCATAAAAATGAACATATAAAATTCAATCTGATTTCAGGGGTTAATTTTCTACACCTTCTGCTGAATTCATTCATCCTGGAAATGCAAAATATTGATTTCCATTGTGAACTCAAAGCTGCAAGTATGTAAATACATAAATTTGTTAAGATAAGTTTAATGTGTACTATAATTCTTCTAAAGCAAATTATTAATGGTGAAATACGCTCAATAAATGCATTCTCCATACACTTACATCATATCCACTATTGCGGATACCACGTCTCTGTCTTTCACGTGTAACTAGAAGATCCATTTCAGTTTCTCCTGGACTAGGGCTATTCAAAGACTGTCTGCTTCGGTAAACTGAGCTCTTCATTTGTTGCCTAGAGAAGAAGGAAGTATTTACATGTGGACAAAATAGGACAAAACATTAGTAGATCACTCTGGAAGTTAGCCTGCACTGATTTATGAAAACGTATTATTGACATACAGTATTTTACTCAGCTATTTAGTCCTATATGTATCAATACAAATAGTATAGCTACGTCTAAGCAATCTTTGAATCAAATTATGTATTATGTGTGATGGTAGAGACCTAGGTGTGAACTGGAAATTGCTTTGTGAATATTTGTATACAAATCTACATTTTTAAACTGACATGACCATCTAGATTTTCATTCACTAGTAGGATCAATAACAATGGATTAACCCAAACAACCTTTAAACTAAATTAGCTGACCATTCAGCTAAGTGACAACTCAATTCAAAATCCCAGTCTAGAACTGAATATATAGGACTGGATCTGGTTATGTCCATCAACTGATGGAATGGAGTCCACCACTCCAGAGCACTTTGGACTTCCTCAGGCAGATCTGAGGAGGTGCAAGAGATCTCCTTTTGAGTAGAAATCCATTCAAAAAATGTTGGATACAGCCTGCTATCCCAATTTAAATTGGCATCTGATAAACAAATAAGATATTAATCCAGTAAACAACACAACACAAAATTAATTGAACTGTGGTTTATCCTCATTCTGCCTATCAGATTTGCTGATTGCTCATGTGAGCCTCAAACTGATCTGAAGTATATCTTTTCCAGTACACAATAATCATATCAAAATATTCAATATAAACAATGCTTTAAAAAGTCATATAAATATATTGTATACTCCTGAAAGAATTGAAGCCCATTAAGGAATTTATTTCTAACAAAATTACTCCTGTATAGTTTAAACTTCAAATATTGGAAGAATTTAACAGATTGTGTATGTTACTACACAGATTGTACGTTCTTCTCCCAGGCATTTCTCTGGTTTTCTGTTTAGTTTGATTGCATGTCCTTCCTCTACACTTAAAACAGAGAAATATGTATGCTTTATATTTTTATTTATTTGCTCACTGTTTTCATTATCTTTCTGATTTTAGAAAAGTGTTTTTAGAAACCATTAAAGTTCTAAGTACATGTGTAATATTTGAGAATTGGTTGGATCAGAAGTAACATAACCAAATAAATAGTTCTATTTAATACGGTCAAAATGTAAATAATCTTGAGTCACTCTTTGAGTGAGATGGGCAGTGACTAAATTTAAAATATAAATCAATAAATAATCTGCAACTTTTAAGCTGATTTCAAAAAAGTTAGGCAAGGGACCTACAAAAGAATAAGGTTAACTAATCCAACAAGTAAAACTCACCCATGCTCAGAAGGAAGAAGACAGGATGGCTATCTGCCATCATAGCTTTTGTGTGTGTCTGAGATTCTCAGAAGCACCTTTCCTAACTTAAAAGATACTGAACTTGATGGAATTTTATTTGATAGTGTCAGGTGTGGGATTAATCCACATTTGATTTTGTTCAGTATCAAAATACAATCAAATTGTGAATAATCTAGAACATTATGAACCACATCCAAAATAAAAACAACTATTGATCAAGCTATGAAAGGAAATTATAACTGAAATATTCTATGAAAACCCACAGATTAAATTCAAAATGGAAGACATGATTTCTAGTCCACACCTGAGCTGAAGACCAGCATGGGATATCCAAACAGCTTTGAAATAAAGTCTCCTTATATCTTTTTTGGTGAGAAGGCTTACTCTAGTTTTTCCCTGCCTACATGCAAGGGGGAAAGTTTACTTTTGTTTTTTCTGAAGAAAGCATGCTTTTCATCCAATCAATGCTACTTATATTCATAAAAGGGAAAGAGGTTTACACCCCATTATCAGCTCAAGTCAGTAATTGCGAGTCTAGAGACAGTGTCTACCAGGGTTCTACATCTATTAAAATATGTGCTGAGAGACTTACTTCCCCCCATAGAATAGTTTATGGCAGCAGTGAGCAACTTTCTTGTGGCCAGGAGTTATGCTTTTTTTTTTTTTTTTTTAAAAGAGTCTGCCTCCAAGAAATTCAGGGTGTTGCTAGTGATGTCATAAAGTTACCCATTCACCCCTTATTTACTTCCAAAGCCTCCTAAAACACAAAAAGGGCTTGGTCCTGGTCTGGAGGCTGAAATGAGTTGACAGAGGTCGTACAACTGATGGGTTGCCCTTCTTTCATTTATGAACTGCCAGCTATGCTGCTCCTAATATCACTTCTCTACCAGTGCCTTCCTTAACTTTTTAAAAAGTTTGTTGTATTGTGCACATCACATTTAATTACAAAATCTACCTAAAACCATACAGACCCTATTTATTTCTGGAGACACATTTAGCCGAGAACTGAGATAAAATGATTAATAATGAGACAAAAAAGTATTTTTCTGGATTATTTCACATAAAGACTATTGCTTTTTGTACTTCAACTTAGGGTTTTGTTTTGTTTTTTAATTTCAGGATTAGAATTCAGCATGAATGTTTTTGTCCTGAAGCATTCATCTCATTAGAGAAAAAGAATATATGGTGTAAGTAGTGGGATCAATTATTCCATAGCATGCTTCAGACAACATTTTCCCTTACAGAGGCAACCACTGACTAACTTGCTACTATGGCTAAATAATACATTAGTAACATATTTATTACTGCTTTATTCTCTTGGGGAAAAAGTAAATCAACTAAAGTAATGAACTCATAGTTGGCTAATAAAATTGAAACACTGACATAATGAAACCATCTAGATCCTCTTATTACAAATGAAGTATCAGTAGACATTCATGAGAAATTAAAATTAAGATTTATCATGCCTATGGCTCAGACAGACTATAATAAGTTTATTTATATAGCATGTGTTGCACACATACTTTTGTTCCCTTTCTTCCAATGGCCCCCTGCACCCCTAAAAATCTACTCTGGATGGTCCTTCAATCCACATTACATTTAGGGCAGAGACTGGGCACCACATGTTAAGAGTAAGAAAGATGGATATTTTGTGATCAAAGTGTTTCACAAAATAGACAATTTAATTACAGTAGCTACAATAAATATATATTATATTAAACCATTATGCAACAGTTTAAATAATGAACAGTTGATGCTAGTGTTATTTGGAATGTAACATTTAACTGGGCATAAAATGTATCAACAAATCTGTTTGGTATCAGTAAAATTAACAACATAATTACATTAAGCAATATATTATTGTTAGCATAAGACTTGATAATAACATACTTTATTGCCATAAAATATAATAGCAAAATAGTGAAAGACAAAACTGTATTACCTTGGAGAACTAGATATAGGCAGAGTTTGAAATTCTACACTATATTCATGGGTAGAGAAAATGGGTGGGTAATTTCTTGGGGGGAGGGGGAGACAGATAAATTCTCCAATAATTTAATAAAAGCAGGATTCCCCTTATTAGTGACAATACCCCAAAATATCAATAGGAGGAGCTCTATTATTGTGTCTTCTGGGCATTTAATTGAAGCATAGTTCATAAGGAGGTTGTAAATCTCTGGAGAAATATTATACAATAAAAGATAGAAAATTTACAAATGGTCACCTTGTAACAAAGTATTTATGCCAACTCCACCCATTCAACTTTCTCTGAAAGCCTCTTTTCCTTTGAAACAATTTCTCAAGCAAATTAAATTAAAAGAGAACTTGTAGGGGGAAAATGCAAGGTAATTTCTCACTTTGTTATGATTACGATTTTTCATTTTCTTTGAGGCCAGAACAAACATTTGGGACAAATAAATGAGGAAATGAAAGAATTGTGAAATTTCCTTTTACACATTAATAATAATATTTTACATGTTATGGAAACTAGTACGGATGCTTTCTTGCTTAAAAGTAAGTTTGGTAACTTAATATGATAAAGTGGCAAAAAACAAGCATGTGCCATGCACACTGGAAATGATGTCACTTATTACTGGCCTTAGAATACTAGAACTATGTAATTTTTCATTACAACTTTGATCAAAACTCCTGTTTGAAACTAATCAATCAATCAAATAAATTTTAATTATACTCAGTGACTACTGCTGTTTGCAATTTCAAAACATAATAGAAAAAAAACCTTCAAATACTATGTATAAATGGGAAGTAAACTATTAAAAAAATCCAAGAACCAGAATAATTTGCTCTGCTCTGAAGACTGTTAATCAAATGAATGCAAAATTACCAAAACAGCTAAAATACACAGGTTCTAAAATGTCTGAACTATCATTCAATTGTTATTGAAATTTTAAACTAGACACTGTAAATATAATTTCATTGCTAAAAATAAGAGTCCTGGGAACAGATGAGTGCAAATTTATTTGCTTTCATGACTGCTGCTTCAAGCTCATAGTGTAACCAAATTGGAATTTAACACTATAAAATTCTGGACAGCAGCAGAGACTATGCTAACACCCACTGAACAGCAATGGTGATCAAACAGAATTCTGCTATTTTCCTGGAGGTCATCTCTGAAGTATCTGTTAAAGGCAGAGAATAAGATTATTGTCTGTTTTGTGATGCCTGGAGGTTAAAAGTAGTATACTTAAACTTTGCACCACATGTGAATAAAAAGGACATTAGAAAATGCGTACAGTCAATTCAATTTCTCCCAGTGGACGAGGTTCGGTACTCTCTTATATGGGTGTACCACTGAATTTCTCTTTCAGAAGGACAGAAGGCAAGGTATGAAATCTGCCTAAAATAAAAGCTCAACTATGTGTTGTACAATATATATTTCTGAGTACCTGACTATTAAAAATGGAGTAGTTCCTAACATACCTACGCTGTACATTTTTGAAGTATGGAGTCACTTTGGAGTCGGGCAGCATCTAAATTGAATTAATAAATAAGTAGCAGAACAAACATTGCCTTGTTTCCTCTTCATCAAGAAGAAGCAGTCATTTCACTTCATATCTGCACATGCAAAATTATGTGCTTCACAAGTCAAACTGCCTCACTCAAGTGGAACATGGATCACTTGCATACCCAAGGAAATACAAGAATGAT